TGATGGGGATCAGAGAGGCTTATCAGGCCTTGTAGGATAACCTATCAGGTAGTGTAGGGCATAAGCAAAGAGAGGGAACCTGCGGGAGAAGTGGAAACCCTGGATCAGCAGAACATCTGAGGGCTTGGAGGTCAGTAGAGGAGCCCCACACATTCCGTTCTTCTCTCCCCAGTCCTCTCTTCCCCGTACTCACATACACACAGACACTGAAGTGCAAACCCCGTTCTGAGCATCACAGAGCTCTGCACCCTGCTGTCAGGCAACAAGTACAAACACATGATGCACGTATTTCCCCGAAGCTCCATTAGAGGGAGAAACTCCTATCATTTCCCCATGGATGAGGACCTGATCTGTGCTCGAATTCCTCATACTGTAGTACAAGTTGCTTAGGACAATTTAGAAGATGTTCACACTGTTTTCAGAGCACTATAGGGCATCAAAATTGCATTGCAGCACATCTATGGCAAGAACAGTGTGTTTGTACTAGAAACCCAATGTACATCTGCAAAACAAGCCTGCATTTATGTTATGCTTGCCAAAATGCATTCGCATGCGGGCACACGTCTAGCACTTGGTGGAACTATCCCTGGAATTCATTCTTCTGTGGAGTGTATGGCATTGGGGTACTGAGACTTAACAGCACAGCACATTGCAAGAGGAGCTCGAGTGCCATGAGAATTGCAGCAGAAAGGCACAGGAGATCACAGAGGCCCTGAAGGCACAGGGATATGAAAGCAGGAAGGGCACCAAGGCGGTGGCTCTGGAGCTGGAGCAGTAACATCAGGTCAAGGGTGGAGCCCTCTTGCCTGCATTGGCGGGAGCCGTCTACGGGCCTTTTTTCTGTACAGCAAAGGCAACCAGAGGCCAGACTGAATTAGCATCCTGAAGGGATTGATTCTCATCCTGCTCCAGGGAGGACTGCAAAACCGAAACATTGCACAGCACCTGATTCTGCATCTGCCCTGGGAAGGACAGCCCCAAGTGACAGGCATAGCTGTCCTGGTCTTGATGTCAGCAGATCCCAGACAAGGGCAGATTCCCCTTGGAACTTAGACACCGAAGTGAAAATACAGTTGTAGAGACAGTCTTGAGTATCGGTCAACCAGGATAGGTTTTTTTCTTCAGAGTAGTTATGAGGTATTTTGTACTCTGAGAAAAAATATTGATTGTTGGGAAACATGGCTATGTTCTTACTTTAGTTAACCTACCAATGGTATAAGGAATTTATGTACCCATTGGTGGGAAAATAGTATGGGAATCTGTACTTGAAAGTTGCAGATGAGGCTTATTTAGAACCTGGAGATTTCCATGCCAGAATGACAATTGGAGTCAGGTTAGCAGCTCAACAGAGTGACATTGGCAATGGCAGGAGCCTAGAGAAGGCCACCTGTCTGTCCCTGCCCAGACCCCTACCTACTTCACTGTGCACACACGGGAGAAGAGCTCACAGGTCCACCCCTGTGTCAGACCCACAAGCTCATGCTATCCTCGCTGGGGTCCCCATTGTGGCTCCACATCATTGGATGATCACAGTTGAGGGTCTAGAACTCTGATCTATCTGTGTTGCTTAGCTTTAGACACACACACACACTCACTCGCTCAGGAGTTAAAGCCTCCTCAGGGTCAGAATGCAGGGGTAGTGGAGACAGAAGGACAGATCTCTCTCTCTCTCTCTCTCTCTCTCTCTCTCTCTCTCTCTCTCTCTCTCTCTCTCTCTCTCTCTCTCTGGTAGTCTTGGCACTGTGTGTGTGTGTGTGTGTGTGTGTGTGTGTGTGAGATGCTGGTGGTCACACCTGCTCCTGGGCCCATCAGATTGTTTTAGTGATGTTATCTCTCTTTGAAACACTGTCCCCTTTCCTGCAGGCTATACTTCATCTGTCTCTGGACAACCTCTTGGGGAATTCTTAGCCAGGTAAGTGCACCATCCACAGATTGATATGGGATCTTCTTTTGCTAGACTTCTGCGATGGAATCCCTAACTGGAAATACTTGAAGTTCAGTAGAGTCTCTACTAATGCAGGGCAGAAATCCAGGGTTTAAACTCATCCTCTGATAGTTATTTGAAGAAAATAGGGGACGAGTGTCCAAGTACCAGTGGGTATCTTGACAGGGAAGAGCGTTCAGACAGAGGAAGAAGCATAGTTAACTTCACCAATATCTGACTGGCTTTTCAGAGACACAAGGGTTACAAATGACCCTGAGCTCTTACACGGCCAGAAGTTCAGGGAGGGTGTCAACCTCAAATGGTGTGCATGCTGGGGTGGGGAGCAGCTGGAGATAAAATAGGAGGAGGGCTGTGACTCATGAGACCAGAATCTATGGCTCTAAACTCCATTGCTGCAGACCCTGTCATGCGTGATCCTTCAGAATCAGAGCCCCATCCCTTGTGACACCAGGGGGACTCGGTTGCATGGAGAACTCCTGTCTGCTCACTGTTCCTAGGAAGCCCTGCAAAGCTGTACTTCACAGGGAGTTCAGATTCTCAGCAGCTATAAGGTAATTTAGGTCAGAGCATGTTGTGACATGCAATAGAAAGGTTTTTCCTCTGCATTTTGTGTTTGTGAAGACCAATTTTACTTATATATCAAATTCTGCAATCCTGCTTTTACTCCATAAGAAGCTGAAGAGTGATAAATCTATGTCACAGTGTGGGCTTCTTGTGCTTTTCGTTCTACTTACTGTGTTCTTTAAATAACCACTCCATGTTGAATATCATTTTAATGGCATGAATCAAGTCCCTAGTGTAAGAGACAAATGATTCACCTTGGCTGGGCCAACACGTCATGAAGGGGATGTTGGCTTTTCTGGCAAGTAATGATGTTATGACTGTGTGAACATAATGGAGAAGGCAGGGACAGTAGAACTGGTGCAATCGAAATGAAGGACGGGTTAGGAGACAGGAGGGCTGAGCAGAAGGATGAGCCTAGCGGGATCTTTCTTGACCCTTTGTGCTGAAGCCCATGATCATCCTTGAAGTTGGGAGCCAGGCTTCTGTTTAAAAGTGCCATATTTAAGATATCTTAAATAGCTGTGTCTGAGACACATACCAATGTCAAGGAGCACAAACGGAGAACTTGCTGGGAGGAATTTATTTGAAATAGAGAAGGAACACTGAGGTCAGGTAGAGGGGTGAAGTGTCATCCGGGCATCAATGTAAATGGCGATCTCTTCTCTGTGCTGGGTGACAGCAGAGTACGTGGCGTCTAAGGCCCCAGGCTCTATTTCTGCAACTTCAGATCAGGCTTCTTGCTGGCCCTGGGGACACAGAGACAACACTGAGTACTGAACACGGGTCAGCAGTGGATGGTGAAGCGAGCCCTAGGGAGGGTCCGTGCTGAGTGGCGTGGGTGTGTCATGTTGGCACCACTGCACCCAGCAGTGGACATAGCACCCGTGCACAGGGCTCCACCCTTCGGCCTGTGCTGGTCCCTCACAGCATTGGAGGCCACTCCTCACCCGTGTGCAGTTCTCTGTGCTCCCGACCCAGCATGCATACATTTGCACAGATGCGCATAGCTGGCTCCAGGTTCTTCTTTTTGTATTGATCCTAAATGTTTGCAGTAACCCTGATTATACTTATAGGGAATCGGTACACATACCTGATGCATCCTTATTCAGTTTTTACCACCCCCACCCCCCCAACCACCTCTCCCTGCTCTTTCTGACTCTTGGGCCTCTCCCCATTTGCAAATGCTCGATTTCAACTTTGATTGCCATTCTTTTCCATCCCATTTCTCACCCTTCCCTCCTGCTCCTTCTATTTTTTGTTCTCCTTGCCATTTAAAAAGATCTTGCTATTATTTATATTTTATTTTGCTCTTTATTTATATTTGTGGTTTCTGGTATAAGACAAACCATACAATATTTGTGTATCTGACTCATTTCACTTAATACTACGGTCTCAGGTGTATTCTTTACTTATGAATATTTCATTTATCCTTCTTTATGACAGAGTAGTATTCTATTGTGTACAAATTTACTTCAGGCATTTACTTTAGGCATTCATCTGTTGATGGGAATATAAGCCATTTCCAAGATTAGCTATTAGAATTGTACTGCTATAAACATGAGTGTGCATGGATCACTGTACTATGGTAACTTTATCCTTTTGAGAAGATACCCAGAAGGACATGGCTGTGTGAAATGGAATTTCTATTTTTTGTTTTCTGAGGAATCTCTACACTGATTTCCAGATTTACATTCCTATAAACAAGGTAAATATGTTTGTTTTATTCCCTGTGCACCCACACCAGCATTTGATATTTTTTGATTTCTTGATGCTAGCCAATCTTTCTGGCATATGAAGGTATCCCAAACTTGGTTCAATTTGCATTTATCTAATGACCAGTGATGGTGAACTTTATTTCATCTATTTATTTCCTATTTGTACTTCTCCTGAGAAGTGTCTATTCATTTCAGTTTCCCATTTCTTGACTGGGTCTTTCATTTTGGGGAGGGCTTATTTTTTTGAGTCTTTTCTGTTTCAGATGCTAGTCTTCTGTCTAAAGAATAGCTAGAATAAAATTGTCCCCGTTTTAGGTTGTCTCTTCACACTGTTGGTTGTTTACTTTACTGTGAAGAAACTCTTTAACTTCATATGATCCCATTTGTTGACTCTTGGTCTTATTTTTTGTGCCATTGGAGTTCTATTCAGACAGTCTTTTAAGGCTACGCCTTCAACAATTGCACCTATTTTATATTGTATAAGATGGTTTCTGTTTTAACCTTTAGATCTTTGATCCATTATTTTTAGTTTAGTATATGGTCAGATATATGAATCTAGACTCAATCTTCTACAGGTAGAGATCCAATTTTCCCAGCACCATTTATTAAAGAGGCTATCTTACTTCCAGCATATGTCTTTGGCCTCTCTGTCAAAGATCAAATAACTGAATGTGCTGGGGGTCATTTCTGTTTCTTCTATTCTGTCGCATTGATCTACATGTCTGTTTTTGTGCTGGTACTATGCTGTCCCCATGGCTAAAGCAGTAAAACATTGTCACCAAATACAAACAGGACACTGACAAACCCTAAGAGCCAATAATGTACCAGACTTAAGCATAGAAAAGACATCTATGATTATGTCTGAACCCTTAGACAAGTCGGATATGGATGTATCGTAAACATGTACTCAGTGGAAAAACTTTACCCCCATTAACAACGGAACAGTGCCCAACCACAGTAAGATGCAGCTAACTAATCATCTATAGATTAACAAAGCTTAATGGTTATAATGGTAAGGGGAGCGGTTGTAGGGAGTGGGGCAAAATATATACAATGTGAAAAATTAAGCCATGGAAGATAAGAAGGTCATAAAGGTGAATAAAGGATCTTACTAAAGAGTAAAGAGACATTAGTAGCTTTAGATAATAGTAATAGAAAAAAATCATGGAAAAAATGGAAGGAATAGTGAGTAAAGGAAAAATATTAGGGATCAAATTAAAGAGGGAGAGTGCAAAAGGAAAGAGGAAAAGAATGCCAAATTAAATCAACAAAGCTAAGGATAAAAGAGGAAAAAGAAACAGGAGATTATTACGGTTTGTGTCTAGATGTCCCCCCAAAGCCTCTGTGATCATAGGCCTTTTCAGAGCTGGCTGAATCTAGAGTGTGTGACATTGGGATTAAGCGTGTGTGATTACTAAATGAGTCCACTGGTTGGTTTGGCCCCACCCTAATCCTGGTAGTCTGGATAAGATGGAAGGGGCAGAAAGAAGTTACTAAGGTCCCCTGCTGGTTTGCTGTCTTCCACCACCATGAACTATTGCCCTCTGCCATGTGCCACCCTGACTTGGAGGCAGCCAGTTATGAACTGAAACCTCTACAAACTGCGAGCTATCTAAACCTTTCTTCCCTTAATTTTGTGTAGTGGGTATTTTGTCTCAGCAATGAGAGAAAAGCATCTAAGACAGAATTTGGTACCAAGAGTGGGGTTGTTGCTGTGACATTACCTGGACATGTGGGTCAAGAGCCTTTGCACTGGCTTGTGGGAAGGGGAAGAAGTAGGCAAGGTTCAGAGATGTCAGCTAAAAACTTAGAGCTGCAACACTTTAGGCTGTACTGTATGGGAGATCATGGTCAGAGGTCAGAAGACCAGAAAGTCAGTAAAGACCAGGATCAAGAGGTTGCTGCTGAGAAGAAGGACCCCATTGGCTGCTGGACTCCAGATAATGCCTTTTATGCCATGGCACAAGGTTTGTCTGCATTTTGCTCCTGTCAGAGACTTTGCCTGAGACTGAGATCAAAGGTGGCAGACTAATTAATCTGGCAGATCTATCCTACTGTGAAGAAGCCTCTCTTGGGGGTAAACCCCAGCTGTTCTATTCAGTTTACACTGTCCGTGGGCTTTCCCTGGAGCTAGCCTAGTGGCCCATCTATTATTTCTCCCTGAAGCAACCGACCTCAGGGCTTACCTCTCCTCCAGGCTGCTGGGCCTGTACTCTCCGGGGTCGGGGTGGGGGTCGGGGTCGGGGTCGGGGTCTTGGCCAGGGGATGGGTCTAGGCAGAGGGCGACGAGGGCGGGGGCGGGGCCTAGGTCTGGAGAGCACAGTTTGCCGTTCTCCTGCCTTGGAGCGCAGTGGGTGGAGTTGCTCTGGTTCCCTAGCAGTTGAGTAGAGACTTCCATTTTGTAAATTCTCATCTAGTAGGGAGAAAAATAAACTCTATTACAACTACTCACTCATTGCAATACAGAAAAAAGTAGACTGTACGTCTGAGTATGTGGCAAGCACAGTGAATTTGACAAAGAATCAAATCTGGAGGAACACCACTGTTGATTTACTTGCTCTCATTCCTCATTGTATAGTGAGGAAGTGAAGGCCCACAGAAGTTAAAAGCAGTCAACTAAGGGCCCTGAGTCTTTCTAGCCATGCTCCCATAGTCCACTTCTGGACCTTCTTCTCTGGACTCCATGCCTCCATCACACTGTGTCTCTCACCTGGAGGTGGACGACGAGAGCTCTCAACCCCTGCAACGCCAGTGGCCACGTCCTGGTCCTCTTCCTGGGCCTGCCGCTGTTCTAGAGCATCCTCAGCTTGCTGTGGGAGAGGCTCAGCCTGGGCCTGCAGGGCCAGCAGGAGAATGGCAGCAAGGAGGGTGAGGGCCCTCATGGCTGGGAGTCACTGGAGGGTGGAGAGCAGTATCCCGGTGCTTGGGAGGGAGGAGTGAGGCTGTATTTATGGGTCAGCTAGGAGAAGGCTCAGAGGCAAAGGGGCAGTGAGGGAAGGTGTATTTGATGGGCCGGGCAGAGCTGCTGTTGCTCTAGCGTCCCCTGGATGCCCCATGCTCTCCTGGCTTCCACAAGGCTATGCCTGTGTATTCAGTGTCTCTCTTAGTTCAAGCCAACAGTGATAATGCTCGCTGTGTTATCTTTCTGTTTCCCACTGCCCCTTTGATTTAACATTTACTTTAATACTAAAAACTGAAAGGAAAATGTGCTTTCATGAGTTATGGTCAGAGAATCAATGATTCTACATTTCTAATTGGATCATGCTGCTGGGAGGGTATAGCCTGTGTATCAGATCTGTGTCCTAGTGCTGTACACAGTTATCACTTATCATAGTTGGGGTATTTCCACCCTGTGAAGAGGGTTTTGAGGTTACTGGTTGAGCAGGCTCCTGTAGTAGCAAATGTGGATGTCTCAATGCTGCTATAGGAATATGGGCAAAATGAACTCAGTGGTACACTAGGCAGAGAGTTGGTCTAACACTTAAATGTGTATTTTTCCATATTTTCCAAGATATGAATGGCAATTTAATTCTGTATATATCTAAAGTGTCCAATCTGCAGATTAAATGTGTGTGTGCATCTGGAGCTCTGTCTGAATCTGGATGTTTAAAAACCTGAGCATAATCTTTGAAACCATAAAAGCATTAGTGAAGGAAGACAAAGAGATAAAGCGCTGGACATGGGGTCTCAGCAGTGACTTCTTAACAGGACACCAAAGGCCTGGGCTGGCAAAGCAAAAGCAGACAAATGGGGTCACATCCGATTGGAAAGCTTGTGGTCCACAGAGCACCCACTCAGCTGAGCGAAAAGGCAATCAGGGTGTGGTAGAATGTTTGCACATTATATCCAGAATATGTAAGCAGGTAACACAATTCAACAGCAAATAACAAACAGCTTAATTCAAAAGACGTGAATAGACGTTTCTGACATTCAGAAGTCCTAAGAAGCCATTGTTGTTTCCGCTGGGCTGGTTGTGTCAGATACCTGTGCTGTGAGCAGAGCCTTCAATGTTCTCAAGAACCGAAGCGGGAGCAACTGTCCTCAGCAGCCACCAGAGTCCCGCACAGAGGAGCCCAGCCTGCGGGCTCTGTGGAGCCGCCTCCCTTGAAGGTCAGATGGCAGCCCAGCTCCCAGCGGAGAAGCACAGTGTGAAGGCAGAAGAGGTTTCCGTTACTTACAGCTCTGGAGGGAGGCAGGCCAGCCAGAGGTGCTCAGACACAGTCTTCTGTCCCCGGTCTCAGGAAGCGATAGCGACCACACAGTGGCAGGACAGACTTCTCCTATTTATGACACACCTGGAGGGGGTCATAATTTAGAGGGGCTTCCCTGGGCTCACTTTCTATTGCGCACTTCGACCACAGTGGTGTAAGGGCACTTGGGCAATTTGGTGTGGAACTGGGACTCGAGTTGCCACCCCAGGACTTCCTGTCCTCAGGAGCTGCCCATGTTTGTGTCTTCCTCACTTCCAATGCGGCAGACCCTTTGGTGCCGAGGGCACTGGCGAAGGCTGAGTAAATGGAGCAGTGAGCCATTACAATTCACTAGGAGACACCTGCCTGCATATCATAGTTCACACTGTCTTAAGGTGACTGGGATAAAAATTCCAGTGGATATACAGGGTTGGAATTGGATCCAGTTCTCAATCAGCAGACCCCAAACTCTGGTCCAACCATGAGAAGAAACAATAACTGCTGAGCAGAGTAGGAATTTCAAACCCTGTGTGAGAGTCTACGCCACCTCCACCTATGCTGGGGAGCTGGGCGGGTTTTGCTGGAGTTGCCCTGTGGGACTGAGGCTTACCCAGCATGTGGCCACCTGGAGGGACCCAGAACTCCAGGTTTGGCCAGTGGATCGGCCAGGGCTAGAAGATTCTTTGGCACCATCTGGACCCGGCACACCCGAGAGTGCTGCATGAGAATGAACGTGGCCTGGATGCCCTCCCTCAGGTTGCTCAGGTTGTAGAGAGACCTTAGCCCCTCAGCTGGTGATGTGTGCCCAAAGACTCTGTACCTAAAGCAACAGCAGCCAGGCAGGCCCGTGAGCCAATGCGGAAGTCCTAACACACCTGCATGCATTCAAACACAAATGGCCCATTCTTCACCATCATCCTGCTCCTCCTGGTTAATTAAATGGCACCATTTTTGTGGAGAAGAGAAGTGAAAGTAGCCCCTCTGAGAAAATGCATACCTAAGTTGAGGTTGCTGAGCGGGTACTGGCATATGCTGGCCTGCTGATCAACACGGCCATAGAGGTGGTCATGACTTCTGATTTCTTTGCAGGGCAATGTCAAGAGAACCACTGTGTCTTTCTGAAAGGTACCCAGCAAATGTGGAGGATGAAAGGAGAAGTGGTGTTGGGCGCAAGTGGGAGGGCCCCACGGCTGTGACAACAGGTGTCAGATGGGGCAGCAGATGCCAGAAAGGCAGCCACTTTGTACACAGAGCACCCTCTAATCCACTGGCATTTCCCCGGGAGGCCGGGAGAACAGCACTATTGGGATATCTGATTAGACCTGTTGTAACACATGGTGTAATACATGGGTGTTGTAATACATGGGTCTCCCAGGTCCACAGGTTTGCAGATCTAGTCAGGCTGCTTCATAGTCTGACCTGGGCCTTGTGGTTTCCTTGCATTAGGAAGAAATGCTGACCAGGCTTCACTTCAGGTAAATGTTGATCTCGGCACAATGCCACTGTATGGGGTCATCTGCAGGGTACGTAGAAAAGCATGAGCTCAGGAAAGTGGCCTGGCCAGGTGTGGGGCACTTGCTCTGGTCGAGCATCGTACCCAGGGCCTGACGAGGCCCATGTCCTCTGCAGCTTGAGGAGCAGCTCATTTGCTTGCGACTTCGTGGTCAGGGAGAGATTCGTTGGTGTCTCCACTTCCGGTGAGGCCCCAGTGTCCCTCCAGCAGCTCCTGGGCTGAGTGCTGAGGTCTGGGGCAGCACCATCTCCATCCAGCAGCTCCTGGGAGGTGGCGCTGCTGGGGGGGGGGGTCTTCCTAGGTGGCACCCAAGAGGGGAAATCGCGCCTGTGTTCTGGTGATCACTGTCGGCCTGCGAGGCCCTCAAGGAGCATCCGGGCAAGACTTCATGCTGCATGACGGGCATGCAGGCTCTCTATCTCCTGTGGTCCCGGGGAGCACTTGTGAGGGCCAGAGTGGGGCTTCCCTCGGTTGTGGAGGATGTTTCCATCCACATGGACTTTCAGTTCGAGGCACATGCATGTCCTTGCTCCTAGGAGAACTGGGACGGGATTCTGTGCATATGAAGCTCACACACTCAGCAAACAGCCTGCATTTGGGTGCATAGTGATACCTGCCACACTTCCACCCAAAAGCTAGGCCACAATTCAGACTGATAAGCCACGCACTGTGATCAGCTGGAGATGCCTGACTCCAAGAGAGAACACAAGCCCAGAGAGCTGAGCTGTGCTGGCCCATGTGAAAGGTGCCAGAAGCAAACTGCAGGTCCCTCTGTAGCAGGCATCCCAGCCTTCCTTCTCTGTGGCAGCCTTTCTTCCTTTCGTCTTGGGACCCTCTGTCCATGGGACCCTTGGCAGTCCCTGACTTCTGGCCATGGGTCCCTCCTCAAGCACACGTGGGGGCACTGCTGCTGCCTTTGGGGTCATGTGGTCCTGGTCCTCTTTCCTACTCCACTTGTGTTCTGAGCTTGTGCAGCAGACAGAGGCCCATGGTGTGACAGGCAGGGGGCAAAGGGCACCACTGGGGATGGCTGAGAGAAGGGCCTGTGTCTCTGGAGCCCTTGCTGAGTCTCGGAGCCACCTGGGGTGGCTGCCTCTGTATCCGGAGACCTTGCGGTGGAAGTGGTACCAGCTGGGCAGTCTGTAGTTCCAACTCCCAGCCAGTGGCAGCCCCCTCATGACAAGGGCATGGCTCTGTGGGCCACTCCTTCCCTAAGTTACTCCTGTGCCCTAAGGGAGTCTTATACAGAGAAACACTGCATGGTGTTGACAGATGTGGAAACACAGTAGCAGTGTGGTTAATAGGTCATCCAAGTCACACAGCAAGTCAGGAAATCAAGGAGGATCCCCTAACTTGGTGCTGTGGTCAAGGATTTCACTGGAGCAGCATCGTAGCAGAGAAAGGAGAGGCCGGGCTGAGAGTCTCACCGTTCACAGCATGTCCTGTCCGCACAAGACCCCAGATGCCACAGTGGTGCATGTGCTACAGCCACTGAGCACCCTGACTAGGCTAAGTGACAGAGAGCTCCAGCCCAGACAAGAGGAGGTGGGTGTGCATCTCACACACTCCTGGAGCCCCCTCCTCCGGAGGGCAGTGGGTGGGCCCAAGGCTCAGGTGGCTGAGCTGCACTGCACAGTGGGGACAGACACCAAGATCGCTGTGGGCAGGACCAGTTGGGACTCAAAAGGTGACTGTCCTGGCTGTTCCTGACAGTCCTTCCCCAGGGTTCAGCTCTGAGTCCCTGATCATGCAACCCAACAGCTCTGGGGCAGAGCAGGTTTTTTTCGATGCAGGTGGCACTTGGCGGTCCTCCTCCCAGCATCCAGTGTTTCAGCACTTATTGCTGCCACTCTGCAACTGGACCCCCAGCCAAAGCACCTTCCTCAACTGGAGAGGCAGATTGTGGAGCCCAGTGTCACAGTTTGTCCTTTAGAAGGGAGACAAACAGCAGACCAGTCTGACATGGACATGATAGGCCATGGAGCTAATGATATTTTGCAAACTGAAAGGACAGTATTGAGAGGACCGTGGAGCTCTATGCACTGCGATTCAGGAGGCTCCTCATGGTGGCCTCCCTGGGAAGCCAGCCACAGAAGCTCAAGCAGGAGGAGCAGGAGGGAGTGGAGCAGGCAGCTGGGCAGTGCTCAGGAAAGAGCAGGTGTCCAAGCCCTGAAGCACACAGGTGGCTGGGCCCAGACAGAACTGCCCCATCAGTGTGCAGAGGACTTAGCAGCTCAGGGAGCAGGGAACAGTGGCTTCCCCTGGCCAGTGGACATTGCTGCTTCCCTGTCCCACCCCAGTAACATGATTGTCACTCCTTCCCATGCCCAGCTGGAGCAGTGTGAGTCTCAGTTCTCAGGACAGGGCTCTCTGTCCCTCTGAGGGCAGCAGCCCTTCCTTCCCTCCTCCAGTGTGTGTGGCAGGGACTCAGCAACTCAGGCCCAACCTTAGCTTTGCAGCAAGAGCTGTTGCTTCATCTTCTTTGGGCAGGTGCCTCTAAGACTATAAACCCTAGAGTGAAGTAGGAACCATGTTTTCCTTCTTTTCTTTCACTTCTTCCTGCAGTAAGACAAAACCTTAAATCCAGAAAAGGTCTTATGTCTGAAGGTCAAGATTGTCCCATCCAAGTGTACCTGCAGTCCCATTGCCAATGTAGGGCTGGCCTCCAGGGTTGAGGTCCAGGGACATCTGATGTGGCTTGAGCTACTCTTTCTTTGGTGTGTGGCTGACCTCCCATGATCACAGAGTATTTAACTGAGCCTTACCCTTCTTCAAGAATCTCCACTAGTCTGACAGGACTGGTATTCTGGGGAAGCTATGGTGAGTGCCCATGTCGGGGTAAGAAAGAAGACAACTTTCTAGAAGAGCAAAGACCCTGGCCGCGGGTGACACTGCCCTGGAGCCTAAGCAGACAGTGTCGAGGCAGGGGGGACATGGTATATTAGGAGTCACTTTCTTGTTTCTGAGACAAAATACTTGACACCCACAACTTAGAGGATGAGAGGTCCATTTTGGCTCATGCTTTGCAGAGGTTTTAGTCCACGGTTGGTTGGTGGCAAGGCAGATGTGGCATTGAACCCTAATCCTAACCCTAACCCTACCCTTAACCCTAACCCTAATCCTAACCCTAACCCTAATCCTAACCCTAACCCTAACCTAATCTTGTAGCATGTGCTATTGAAAGATCATCCTGCTGCCACTTCTCTTCTCCCAGTTGGATCCACTAGGATAGATCATTCATGTCCTTAAGATGAAGGTTAAACAAAAAGTCCTCCCCACCCCCAGTCCCCTGGATGTCAGAATATTCTGTTTGATACATTCTGTTGCTTTTTCACTTATATTGTTGATTATAGCTAGTGCTTCGTTTGCTCATTTCTTAAACTGTCTTTTTGCTTTGCTTACTTTTTTTTTTTTCAATTCTCTTCCAGTCGATCTGCACATGGCCATAGTGACTGTCAATCTGGAGAAGAAAGCCACCATCTTCTGCTGTTGCTGCAAGTTTTCCAACTTTCAGGAACAAAAGTCCTGCACAGCAGCCAATCATGATTTCACCAGTGGTGTC